ACAACTAGCTTCGCTAATCTTGCACAGGGTTCATATTCCAGAGATAGAGTTAACCAAGGCTTAAGTTGTATCATCAGGCCACATTTCAACTGGGAAAAAGCAGCATCTCCATTTGTTAATCTGAAAGACTTCAGAAAGAGGATGAGAATTCATAGGACTTAGAATGTCATCTCCAAAAAAAAAGTTAACAATTCTGTAGTATTCTCAGGGAAAACTGAGGTTAGATTCAGATCCAACAGGGATCCAGAATGGCAATGACAACCCAAGGCAGGAAGTCTACCATGGGAATAGTGCATAGAAGTCATCTCCATGGTGTGCGGATACCTGGAATTTGTTACACTGAATGCTGGCTGGTAGAAAAGGGGTTTGCTAGATGCATCACTGTCTGCAGAGCTCAGTACCTCTACAGTTATAAAGAAAACTTCACCTGTGCAGCAAGATCGATGAAAAGCAAGTACATTACAAATTATGAAATCTGAAAAATATTGCTAATTAAAAGTTAACTTATTAATTATCCTATTCATCATAGTCAACATTAAATAGAATTTAAAGTCAAGTAGGAACTGGATTTCAATATGGTTTAGTTAGTTCATTTTGAATGCAGGTAGAACACATGGAGTAGAAGAAAATCTGAATAAATAAAAATTAAAAGTTAGCTGGGCATAGTGGTACATGCCTTTAATTCCATCACTAGGGAGTCAAAGGCACTTTGAGTTTGAAGTCAGCTTTGTGTACAAAGTGAGTATTAGAACAGCCAGGATACATACATACACACACAAATGCACAAACACAAACACACACACACACACAAACACACACACACACACACACAGGAACAGTCTCCTGCTGACTGTGGACAAGCCATTTAACTTCCTTGCTACTCAGTTATAAAAGTGTGGCCAACTGACCTCATAATATTGACTGGGATTACAGGAAGATGAATGAAGTATATACATAGAGACTTGGGTCATGGCCTGGTCTGTAACAAACATTATATAAGGGTTTGCTCCTCTTAGTGATGTTTTATTTTCTTCCTTTTTTTTTTTGAGACAGGATTTCTCTGTATTGTTTTGCAGGATGTCCTGAAAGACCAGGCTGGTCTTGAATTCACAGAGATAAACCTGCCTCTGCCTGCTGAGTGCTGGGATTAAAGGCATGTGCCACCAACGCCTGGCCTTAGTGACATTTTCACTTCAGAGTTCACAAAACAATTTCTGCATGTATCTTCACATGAAAAGACCACTGGTGGAATTTTACTTTTAAAGCTATTAATTATGAACAGAAAAATCATTGCCAAATTCATTTTATGAGGCCACAGTCACCCTGATACCCAAACAACACAAAGATTTAAAAAAGTATTCACAAATACTTGATAAAATACTAGCAAACCAAATCCAAGACCACATCAAAAAGATCATCCACCATGATCAAGTAGGCTTAATCTTAGAGATGTAAGGATGTTTCAACATACAAACATTTGTTAATGTAATCCACCATATAAACAAGCTGAAAGAAAGAAAAACACATGATCATCTCATTAGATGCTGAAAAACTCTTCATCAAAATCCAATAGCCCTTCATGATAAAGGTCTTGGAGAGAGATCATGGATAAAAGGGACATACCTAAACAGAATAAAGGCAAATTACAGCAAGCCTATAGCCAACATCAAATTAAATGGAGATATACCCAAAGTGATTCTACTAAAATCAGGAACAAGCCAAGGCTATCGACCTCTCCATACCTACTCAATATAGTACTTGAAGTTTTAGCTAGAGTAACAAGACAATTAAAGAAGATAGACGATAAAAGAGATACATATTGGAAGGGAAGAACTCGGGGTAATGCTGTTTGCAGATGATATGTTAATATACATGATCAATCCCAAAAAGTATACTAAGAATTTCTTACAATTGATGAACACTTTTGTCAAAGTGGCAAGATAAAAGATTAACTAAAAAATAAAATAAAATAAGTAGCCCTAAAATCAGGGAAATTACAGCCTTCCCAATAGCCACAAATAAATATAAAATATCTTGGGGTAACTCTAACCAAGCAAGAAAGTGAAAGACCTGTTTGGTAAAAAACTCAAGACTTTGAAGAAGGAAATTGAAGAAGATATCAGAAGATGGAATGATCTCTCATGCTCTTTAATCAGTAGGGTCAACATGGTAAAAATGACTATTTTACCAAGAAAAATCTACAGATTCAGTACAATCTCTATCAGAATTTTAACACAATTCCTAACAGACCTTGAAAGAACAACGCTCAACTTCATGTGGAAAAACAAGAACCAGAGAATAGCTAAAACAATCTGTACAATACAAGAACTTTCAGAGGTCTCACCATCCCTGATTTCAAGCTGCAGTGATAAACAAAACAAAACAAAAAAACATGGCATTTGAATAAAAACAGACACATTGATCAACAGAATCCAATTTAAGACACAGATGTAAATCCACACTCCTATGGACAACTGGTGAAAATGTAGTGCACTGGGAAACTCCGTTTAATCTATGAGAGTAACCCTAGGAAAGACTCCTAGCAATAGCCATATGGAGCCTTAACCAGTCATCCTCTATAACCACACAGGGCCTCAAGTGGAAGGATTGGGCCACCAACCCAGGCACAAAATCTTCAACCTACAGTTTATCCTACCTGTACAATGTTCTGGGTGTGGAGCCTAGCTGAATGGTCATCAAAGAGACCAGAGAGACTTCATCCAGCAACTGATAGGATGCAGATGCAGAGTCCCACAGCTAAACATTTGGCAGAACTTGGAGAGACCTGCGAAGGAGGGGGAGGAATGATCTGAGGAACCGGAGGAGTCAGGGATACCTAAAGAACATGGGCCAGAGAATTAATTGACCAGAACTCACAGCGACTTATAGAGATCACGGAGACTGGTCTGGCCTAGGTCTTCTGGATATATGTTATGGCTGAATAGTCTGGTGTTCTTGTGGGATACCCACCAGTGGGAGTGGAGATGCCTGTGACTCCTTTGCCTGTTTCTGGAACCCTTTTCATCCTCCTGGTTGCCTCATACAGCCTTAATGGACTGGTATGTTCCTGGTCATATTGTGGCTTGTTATACTGTGTTTAGTTGATATCCCTTGGAAGCCTACTCTCTGCTGAGGGAAGATGGAGGAAGGTGGTGGATTTGAGAGAAATGGAGGAGTGGGGAGAGAGACTTGGTGAGGAGGATGTTATATATAAGAGAAGAATACAAATTAAAAGAAAACTATAAAACACATATTAGTGATGAAGTTGGAGTTTTATTTATATGATAAAGACAGAGTGATATCCTCATTTTTAATTCCAAGCACTATGCTCTTCTACTGAAAGTCTCCCATCAAACCAGGAAAGACAGAAAAGTCCCAGTGCTGTCTGGCATTTAATAATAACGAGTAGTTAAATTCACATCTTGGCCAAATCACTTAGGCATGCATTGAAAAGGAACATATTTTCCTAATAGTAATAGATACTGCTTGTTCTTTACACTTTAAAGCCAGAAGACAGATGCCGTTAAGAGAAATATCACAGCATCAGTTGGCCTTGTTAAAAGATGACTTCTTACCTTTCTTCATGCTCTATTTATACCTTCTACAATGTGCTCTTGTTTCAACCCCACTGTTGTATCAATATGTCAAAGGAGGCCCATTTCAAGAGAAAATGTATGTAGTGCCATTTGACAGGCAGAGGGTAAAGGCCTTAAAGCATTTTCCAGATCTCAGGAAAAGTTGTGAACAAGAGCTGCCTAAATAAAGCTATTTTGAAGAAGGAAACATCACTGACACATTTAAAATTCATTAATTCTGCCCATCTTTTCTCTATGAGGCAGCCATGAAGTCGTTTTTCTTACTTCAAAAAAAATGAGAGCAAAGAGATACCTCAGTTGGTAAAGGGCTTGCCTCATAACCAACTTGAGTTAGAGTGTCATGTCAAGAAACCATGGTGGCATGTACCTGCGGCACATACAAGGCAGAGGTAGAGATAGAAGTTCCCTTGATTTTGATGACCAGCTCTTTCAGCCTAACCTGAGAGTTCTAGGTGCCAGTGAAAGGCCCTGTCTCAAACCACACAGAGAAACAAAACCAAACCAGAAACAGCTAGTACGCTGATTCTGAGGAATGACACTCATTGAACTTTGGCATCCACATTCATGCACATACATGCCTGCATACGTACACACACACACACATACACACGCACACACACACACACACGCACACACGCACACAAACACACACGATAGGATGACAGAAACATAAACTATTTTCAAATGTAGTATTTATTTCTATATCTTGGGAGTTAAATCTAATCTGATCTCTGCAAACTTAAGGACTTAACATGTTTTATCCTCAGGAAACGTTAGTCATATTGACTTACAAAACAATCAGATCCTAGAGTAAAATTTGTATCTATGCCACTTAAGTAAATACTGTCAATTGGAAATCTCAACTAGACTTCATTTATTCTAAATAAAAAAAAATGAAAGGAATCCAGTTATACTTAACAGAGTGTAAGTTTCCAAGAGCAGAGTGTTCTGCTTTGCTTAGACTATATCAAGCAGCAAAATTGTAGCAGTAGTGGTAGTGGAGTGCAGTAGGAGGAGACAGTAAGTGTTCAGTCCTCTCAGGGGAGTGGCCTGGCTCTGGAGTTCATTTAGAAAAAATGAACATCCACAGTCATCCCAGGGCCTGCTCAGTATCCTGGCTGAATGACTGGAGCAACAAGGCAGTGTCACCACCGCAGAAAATCTAAGAAAGGATAGTTTGTAAAACAATATAATTAATTAAAGTATATATTTTTAAAATTGAAATATAATCAAATCATTCCCACTCCCGTTTCTCCCACAATTCTCTGTTGCCTTCTCACCAACTCCTTCCATGTTCCCCTTCATGTTGATAGCCTCATTTTCTTTATTATTATTACACACATATATAGATGCATTATACATATTCAAAATATATAAATATAACTGGCTGAGTCTGTTCTTTAGTGTGTGTGTGTGTGTGTGTGTGTGTGTGTGTGTGTGTGTGTGTGTGTGTGTGTGTGTACACATGATTTCAGGGATAACCACTCTTCATTGGATAACAAATAAGTGGCTCATCACTGGGGCAGGCTAATTCTCCCTCTCCAAGCAGTCATTAGTTGTCTTAAGTTCTTGATCTAGGGGTGAAACCCCAGGAAATTTTCTTCATTCCATCTTAATATGTACACTGTCTGATATTTCTGTTCTTGTTTATACAGCCATTTCTAGGAGAGACTTTTTTCTACAACAGTTTTCCTGGTAAATAATTCCAAAAATAATTCTGGAATATGATGTAACTTTATATATATTATAGAAGAAAATAGCAAGGTTTATTTTTTAGTACTAATGGCATCTGAAAATGATAATTAACTTATAAAACAGAACCACACAGAATTAACAAAGGAAAGAATTTACATTACTTTTTCTTTAAATTGCACAATAGGAAAGTACAAAATGTGTGCTCATTACACTTGTCTATTATAATTCTAATAAATGAAATGAAGTAAAGGAAATTGTGTAATGGAAAAATTCAACCCGGTACTTTTAATAAGAATAAAGTGTATTTTTGGAGGTTATTAAAATTTATAAAAGCATCCTTAATGACTTAATAATATGCAACTTTACTACATTTTAACAATCATAGGAGTAATAATGTTTATAATCAACAGAAAATTTGTTTTAAAAACAGACATTATAAAAAAACTAATTAACAGTTCAAAAATACATAACAAACATGTTGATTATGTAAAATTATAAAAAAAACCCATTGGCTTTCAAAGCCTTTTCTCCTTCTACAGAACTATTCTTCAAGAGGAAAATGACATCAGTACAACTACATAATAAATTTGGGATTTTTTTGTTTACCATATATTTAAACCTTATATTTAAGTGTGTTAAATGACAGAAGTTTAATCTGTATTTCATTACAAGCTGTAGATTTATATTGGATGGAAGTCTTTCACAATTTACTATACTTTATGAGATAATGGTTGGTCCATTTTAGAAAACAGAGCTAGACTATGGAGGGAAATAGATACAATACATGAATGTAACGGGCACTGCCAACTGAAATTGCCTGATTGCAATACAGAACAGCTATTCATTATCTCCTATGCAAAAGTCTCATCACTAAATTGAGTTAATGATTAGGTAGGTCAATCAATTTAAGTTACTCATTTAAAAATACCTTTGAAAAAATTTAAGCACACCATTTTCTGATATATGGTAGACTGCTAAGGAACGGATTCATTCTCAACAGTCTCCATCTCTGCTGAGTTCAAGAGAATGCCTAGTCTCCATAAGTAAAAAGTAAATAAAGGAAACGCATCTGAAAGTCGGAAGATGGTTTCATCATGCTTCTGAAGAAATGTCTGGATTTCCGGGCTGCTGTGATCAATGTGTAAAGCGTGATCTCCCTGGGTTTCCTGTTGAAGAAGTTGCTCCAGAATCCAAAGTAGGGAGAAAATATTTTCATAGCGTGTCACATCATAATTGCCTTGATCCTACAAAGAAACAATTTAAATCCATAAAACACTGTGTGGGTCAGATCAGAAAGTACTTATATAGGATTATACTGACAGACAAAAGAAAAGTTTCAGATTGGTTTAAAGCTTTCTGCCTTCTTGTCCCCTTAGTTGGTAGAATGGGGAAACAAACAGATTATTGGGAGTGTGGAGAAAGAAAACAAATATTTAAAGGACTTTACAATCACAATGATATTTTTTTCTTAATTAAATTTACTCATGTATTTTACACCTAGAATGTAATTTCCCCTTCCTCCTCTTTTCCCATACCCTCCCCCCACTTCTCCTCTGCCTTCTTCATTCACTCTTTCTCTGTTTCTGTTCAGGAAGGGACAGGCCTCCCAGGCATGTCAACAAAGCATGGCATATCAAGTTAAGGTAGGACTAAGCTCCACCCCTTCTATTAAGTCTGGGCAAGCATCCCAGTATGAGGCATAGGTTCCTGTAAGCCAAGCAAAGCATTAGGGACATAGGTTTATCTAGAGGACCTCAACGTAAATCCAGTCTCACTGAAACTGATAGAAAAGAATGTGGGAAAATAATTGTATACAGAAGTACAGGAAACAACTTCCTGAGTAGAACACCAGTAGCACAGACACTGAGATCAACAATTAATAAATAGGACCTCATGAAACTGAAAATCTCTGTAAAGAAAAGGACATCATCAGTTGGGCAAAATTATAGCCTACAGAATAGGAAAATATCTTTGCCAACCTCACATCAGACAGAAGACTGATCTCCAAAATATATAAAGAACTCAAGAAACTAGACAAAAAAATCCAATTTAAAAGGGGGGTACAGGGTACAGATCTAAACAGAAGAACCTCAATGTTCAAGAAACAATTAAAGAATTGGTCAAAATCCTTAAACATCAGGGAAATGCAAATCAAAATTACTCTGAGATTCCATCTTACACCAGTCAGAATTGCTAAGGTCAAAAACACTGATGACAGCTTATGTTGGAGAGAATGTGGAGTAAGGTGAACACTCCTCCACTGATGGTGCGTATTCAAACTTGAACAGGCACACTGGACATCAATATGGAGGTTTCTCATAAAATTGAGAATCAAACTACCTCAAGACCCAGTAATACCACTCTCAGGCATATACATTAAGGATATATACCACAGGACACTTACTCATATATGTTCATATCAGTGTTATTCATAATAGCCAGAACCTGGAAACAACATAGATGACCATCAACTGAAGAATGACTTTTTTCTTGATGACTTATAAAACTTGAAATCTTTTTATACCATTGTTCTATACATTATCATTCCTAAAACTCCAGTCCAAATGTCTTAAAATCAAAGTGTTTTGGATAAGAATATGATAGTGTAAATGCAAATTTCCATATATGATCTCATATGACATATTGCAGTATAGTCACAGTAGATGCACATGGATATACTGTGTGAAATTATTTACAGGCTGCATATTTAAAGGATTTATGACACATAAAGGAATTTCATGGTAATAACTGTGTTCCATTTCCAAAGTATCTTATTAGTTACATGTAAAATCCTAAAGGGTTAAAATATAAACTACAAAATACCTCTGGGCCCAAGATTTGAATTAGAAAAATTGCCTGTCATTACATATTTTACTATAATCACTTATTTACACGTAAACATCTCAAGTGCTCAGTAAACAGTGTATACATAACAATATAGAGTGTTAAATTCAATCCTGAGTCTACTATTTCCAGTGTAAGGTGTTCTTGCTAAGAATCACAGAATGGCTTTTTTGGGTAGGATTTTGGGAGATGTATGAAGGTATAAATGATAGACTGAAGATATTAGGCAATGAGATATTTTCTTATCCTGAGTTTGCACAAGTCAGAGAGGACTGTATGGACTCACCTACATGGACAGAAGCACAGATATGACCTTGTAGGAATTATTTGGCCTGGATGGGTATACACAATCAAGGAAAAGAGCCTAAGAAGCGCAATGGCAAACTTAAGAGAATAGAGGTATCAGTGTAGAAGCATAAGCTTGCTTCATTATTTCCTTGTTAATTAAGAAGTAAGTCCAACATCCTAGGAGGTAAGCTGAATGCTTATCACCATTTTACAGACAAGAAAAGAGCCACAAAAGTACACTAATTAGAACTCTAAGTCTACAGATCTTAACTAGGGACTTTTCTTTTGCAATTTTGCTGAAGTTCATTAAAGAAAGTATTACAATTGGGGTTAGGGGAAAAAGAATGTGCTGGAAACATTTATCAATGCAATGCACTGTGATGACACATGAATAGAAGAATGTTCTTGCAGAGTCAGAGGAATTTACTCGTCAGAAAGGTTACCCGATGAACCCAATTACAGGGATGCAGAATGCTGAAAATAAATAAATACTTCAAAAAGCGTTGTATGTTGAGACCCACCTGTCTCTCTTAGAGGTGGCTGAACACCATTAGGCTATTGTTACCACTTTTCCCATATATAGGCATGTTGCACTCCCAAGCTGAGGCTATTAAAGAGTTCCCACCTTCTGGACATGGCTTCTGCGGCTGCAATATATACATCTTACAATGGGCCACTGGCATACTGCAGCAGTTTGCATTGGATTTTAGAATCCAGAGCCTCCAGGTCTCAGTGTGCCTGTGATCTGGGCCCTAGCTATCATAACTCTAAGCATGTTTGGGTTTCCAATTACAGTACCCCTGCTGTGTGTATCATTATCAAAGCAACTGCATGCTATAACCAAAAAGAAGTCAACTGTTGCCCAGACCCCAAAGACACAGCCCACCCCCATGTCCTTGTAGTTCAGGCATCAGCTCCGTAGGTGACTCAACACATCACTGATGCTATAAGCATCGTGAAATGGCCTGAAAGACAAATCGGATGTCAAAAGGGAATATCTCAATCACAATTTGTCTTCTGTTTTAAAGGAAAAAATTATTAGCCAAACCTGATTACTACATGCAACCACATTTGCTGCCACTGCAGATATCGAGAGCCTTGGCTACCAAGGATCTCTGTAGTATCCTCCTACCTCCTTTTACTAACGTGACAGCCCTGTAAAGAGGCTACGTGGCTGCAGACTCCCTACCGCCTGGGAACTATTACTACATCAATATTAGTTTGTAAAATGTAACAGAAATAATTGATCTGTGGAACACGTGGATATTTATGTATATGAACAAGAATTGTTACAAAATCAAGAGGCACATCACAACAGATACATTAATCTTCCAGAATCTACACCAAAGATTGAAGCACAGACTATTTGATGAATAATTTAAAATATTTATTTATGGAAACTCAGATATGTTTAATAAAGAAGAGAATTCAACAGGTAAGTTGAAATTATTTAAAAATATTAAAATAAATGTAAAGAGAAAATAGTGTTGGCAATAAAATTAATAAAGTAAAAAAAGTACATTATCCAAAACACAAAAGGGGGATAAAATAATGAAAATGAATAAAAAAATACAGATGATTTAAAGGGAAGTAAAAAGAACAAGTGTTCTAATTCCAGGAGTGAAAAAGGAAAAAGAGACAATGGTCAGAAAGAATGTTTAAATCAATAATAGATGAACGTTTCTCATATCTATGGATGAATTTACATGCCCAGGTATAAAAAGGGCAAGCTAGCCAACCTCAACGTGAATAAGACTGCACCATTGATATATTATAATCAAATGGTCAAAAATAAAAGATGATGGGGATTATGAAAGTATGAAGGAAAAGCACATTACATGTACGGGATTATCACCAGACTCAGTGGTAGAGTTCTCAGTACGATGGTCACACTCTTGGAGACAGAGGGAGATTTACTCAAACAGCAGAAGAGGAAGAAAACAAACATCCACACCAAACACATTTTACATGGAAAGCCAGAATTGAGAAATAGATGAGGACTTTCCCAGACAGGCCAACCTGACCGTTATTCACCCTTAAACCTCTCTTTAAAAAATAAAAACACGATGAAGGGAAGTCTTCAAGCTTAAAGAGAAACACTACAACACAACTCAGCAATTTAGTAACATGAAAACAGGTGAAAGAATAAAACACACTGGTAATATACATACAGGTAAATTCAGAGTACTCTCATCTCTTTAACACTTTCTATAAATCAATTATGTACTTAGTATGAAGATTAACAAGATAGCTTCAAAAACTATTTTACTGGATGAGCAATATAAAAATATATAAATTATGAAACCAAAAGCATAAAATATAGAAAGTGAACATTTTTATCAGATCTAAATTATTGTCAGCTTAAAATAGCCTATTCTAATGATAGAACTCCTAACTATTAAAAAACATATAAAAGATACTAGAAAATAAAGAAATATATGTAATCAAAGCAAATTTCTAGAGAAAAATATGGAATCATGTAAAAGGATAGCAAAAAAAGATATATAAAACAACCAGAAAACATCAACATGACAGTACTCAGTCAGTACCTATCAATAGTTATGTAGTATATAAATGGATTAAATTCAAATACAGAGTGGTATATCTCAGTACCAACTCATACATCTCCAACACAATTCTTGCATCTAATAGTCAGGGATCATTGCATAAGAGGGGGTGTAAAGATTCTAAGAGCCAGAGAAACAGGGAATTTGTTGTGAAATTTTGTCTTCTAGCAATGTTAGAAGCTATACCTATATACTTTCATCACTGGAAAACACTTTTACCCTTCCCCTTCTATCATTGATCCTATGAGGAAATATGGACACAGTCTTAGAGGTAAAACTGTCATCTGGCAAGCCCAAGATGAATGATATAAAAAATGCCAGACTCTTGGGGGCACTGTGCCACCAGGAACATTTGACACTTAGGGATGTGCATACTGTCTGCAGTATGCTGGAATTCCTCTTGTCCGTGTCCAACATTTTTTAAAACAACAATGTATTTTTAATTAATATTTTTTCATTTATTTTACATACTGACCACAGTTTCCCCTCCCTCCTCTCTTCCTGTTTCCTTCCCCACCTCTCAATAATCCCTTCCTCTTTCTTCA